TGCACCTTTTTAGGTCAATTGGGCTCACTTAGGAATATCACCACTTGTCTTTTTTTTTTTTTTTTTATGTATCCCTTGGTTGTTATTTTGCTTGATTGGAGCACCTTTTTAGGTCAATTGGGTTCCTCTTGAGATGGAGTGTTCCTCTTCGTCTTTCACTTGATCTCAATGAAAGCTTTAATTAAAAATAAAATAAAGAACATTCCTAACTACCTAAAACAGTCATAAAACAGAAAATGTAATTTAATTCCTTTCTCATGAACTCCTTTCAACTTTAACCTTCATTCTAGTTTAGTATTAGTTTAGTATTGAAAGTAGCAACCAGAGTTGGATTCCTTGACATCAAACTTTATTATCTCTATCAGTCCTCCATTACCATCTGAATTTTCACAACATAGTTATGAATCAAAATCTTCTCCATAACAAAGGAAATATGAGCAATAATATCAAACCAATGAGATATGGGATAATTTGAAACCATTAAAAGTGAACATTAACCATTTTTGTTAAAGTTTGACGAGTAAATAAAATGATAAGAGTTTTGTAAAAGCAATGGTTTACCTTAGTGGGTTGTGTGACGCATCCCTAATTGTTTACAATGAACTTTACATGAATCGGACCATTCTGCATGATATTTTCAAGGAAAAAAACAGTTATGCATTGATCTTCAATTCAAAGAAGTCATTAAGTTGAACAAAGAAAGTACCTTCGATTTCAACAAATTGATGGTCAGATATAATATTTAGAGAATATATTATAATAATTAGCTATGGAATATATCTTATATATTCGTAATCAGTTCATATTCTTAACTTCATTATTAACTTCCTGATTTGATTAATAGTATATTTTATTTTATTCTTAATATTTAATTAGTTTATATTTTCCTAGTTAGTAGCTTGTATTCTATTTAAATGTTATGAATATCCATCATAATACCCACCTTTGATCCCATGTATCCTATTTAAATGTTATGAATATCCATTAAAATACCCACCTTATTTAAATGTTATGAATATCCATCAAAATACCCACCTTTGATCCCATGTATCCTATTTAAATGTTATGAATATCCATTAAAATACCCACATTCGATCCCAATTCTATTTCTCATTTTTAATGGCTTACTGATTGAGTTAGAGTTTGGCTTACCAAACCCTAGCAAATTTTGATATTTAAGAATCCCAAGATCGGTGTTCTGATACCATGTTAATAATGAGAAATAGAATTGTAATTGAAGGTGTGTATTCTCATTGATATTCATAATGTTTCAATAGAATCCAAGCTACCAACTAATACCTCCCGATAAGGAAATATAAATTAATTAAATATTGAGAATAAAATAAAATATACTACTAATCAAATCATAAATAAAGAATATTAACTGATAAACAATATCTAAGATATATTCTATAACTAATTAGAATAATATATAAATCATAAATAAAGAATATTAACTGATAAACAATATCTAAGATATATTCTATAACTAATTAGAATAATATATTTTCCAAATATTATATCTCAACACTTAGGCTCAAATCAGTCTCAAAATTTGATTCAGACACTAATATATCTCTCGTATAGTTCATCGTCATGACCTAGAGGAATGTTTATAAGAACAAATTCAGAACTAGAAACTCATTCTCAAAAACTCCAATGATTGAAAAACAAAATGAAATCTAACAAATTTCATCCCTCATAAAATATGACTAGTTTGAAAATCTCAACAGTATTTTTTCCAGAAGGTAAGTGTGTGCACAAATACATATAACAACAAGATACCCTCAGCCTCAGCCTCAAATGTGTTGGCTAGCTTCGAAACTGCCACTCAACTCAACTATGAGGGCCTTACGACTAATTAGTGCAGAAATTGAAGTAAAAGTGGAGAAGAGTACATCTTCCTTGATCTTTTAGATGAATCTAAATGCAAAGCTGTGCATGTTCAGAAAATGGAATACTATTGTAAGAAACTTGGGCATACTAGCATTCAGAGACAAACAAATACTGAAAACTATAACATCACAAAATAGAACTTGCAGTCAAATGCTGACATAATCCCTGCTCCAACAAATAGAGGTGACATCTAAAGCAGCTAAAGCTACAATTCACATCTTCACAGCCAACAAATAATAATAAATAATAAATAATAAATAAACTTATAAACAACAATTACTTCCTACGACCCCAAAAACTTGAATTCAATTTCATAGCCTTGGGCTTGGAATCATACCAGTATTCTTAGCAGATGCGAAAATCCCACCGGCCTCAATGACAGGACCAACTGATTTTCTTTCTCCTGAGCAATCACTCCATCATGAGCAACTGCTTTGTTCTTCCCCTCTCTGTTATCGGAACCAATCTCAATGATATAAGAGTTCGTCGTCCTCCTCTCTTCTGCCAACATATAAATTTGAATATCAGGTTTGTCCCCGGATCCCCGCACAGAGAAGAGATAGAAGACGACAGGGAATGAAACGAAGAGTTCAAAGATAATAATCGCGTTACCATGGGAACAATGAACCTACTAAAATCACCCTAATCCTCCGTAATCAAAACCACGAAAAATACAAAAGGTATCGAAAATAGGCAAAAAAAAAAAAAAAAAAAAAAAAAAAGAGAACGATCCTTCGATTAACCTCTGAAGTTCTCCAGTGAAACCCTAAATCGGAACGAAGTTCTCCAATAAACCCCTAAATCCAAATAGCCAATGTGCCCTTAAAATTTCAAACCCTGAACATAGTAGTCAAGTCCAAACAACCCACACAATTAACGGCTGAAATCAAGTTACATTACCTCTTTTTTTCATCGCCGGGACGAGGCAAAAATGCCGTTGATGGAGCGCTCTGATTCTAGTGCGAGAATGTGCTGAAGAACAGAGGGAGACTGCGGGAGAGAGATATATATAATCCGTGTGAAATAGGCGGGGGGCTGAGACAGCTGGCGTCCGAATAAGCGATGGGGGGTAACGGCTATGAAGACCGTTTGACCTTGACCGTGGGTAACCGTCGACGATCGAACGGCTGTGGAATTTAATCGATTTATGTTTTCTTTTTTCCTTCTTTAGTTCAATTGATTATTTGATTTCATTTCTTCCGTAGTTTTAGGGATTTTTCAGATTTTATTTTGACAATATTTTGTTTTAATTTAAAAAAGGAAACAAATCATGTACACCAAACTTTGTAATTTGGTTATAAGCTTTAATATCTCTTTCATAAAATTATTAGTTTATTCGCAAACAAATTATTAAAAGAGTCATCGATAAAAAATAAAATAAAATAAAATAAAATACCTTTTTTTCCACTTGATAATTTTGATCTTGGTTTATAAAATTTCCACACATATTTTCCAATACAAATTTACAAAAATATATTAAGTTGTGGTTAAATAGTGATTGGAAAACAAACTTTTAGAGTAAATGAATTAAAACAAAATTCTTGAAGGACTGAAATAGACTGCATTCACCAACATTTTAAATAAACCAATACTTAGAGAGACAAGTAATATTTAAACTAAAAATTATAATAAAACAAAGAAAAAAAAAGGTTTAGAAAATTAAGAATTTATAATATTTAACCGAATTTAATAGATAAATTGTATAGTTAAATCATTTTAGGTAATATATGTAGATTAAATGGTAACATATATGGTTGTATGTATTTTATTCTCTTAAAATTTATATACTTTTTACTCATATATTAAAAATTAAAAATGATGTAAATAAATTTTACACATTTTGATAGGAACAATTTAATAACCCACCTCTAATTGAGAGATTCCAAAATAGTCATCCTTAGGTCGTGGGTTCAAATCCGGAGGTCGAACGTGATTGTTTATGTATTTTTTAGAGATATATGCTTTAAATATTTTAAAATTTTTACTTAAAAATGATGTAAATAAACTTTGCACATTTTGATAGTAACAATCCAATAGTTGACTTTAGCTTAGATGGTAGAGCTGAGGAGTGTAGTTAGAAGATTCCAAGATAGCCATCTTGGCTTAAGTCCGTTGGTTCGAATCCAATAGTCGAGGTCGCTGATATGAATTTGGCGTGTTGAACTTGATTATATTATGTATTTTTAAGAGAGATATATATGCTTTAAATATTTTAAAATTTGTACTTAAAAATGATGTAAATAAACTTTGAACATTCTGATAGTAATAATTCAATAGCCGACCTTAGCTTAGATGGTAGAGCGGAGGACTGTAGTTGGAAGATTCCAAGATAGCCATCCTTAGGTTGCTGGTTCAAATCCGACAAGTCAAATTTGATTATTTATGTATTTTTAAGAGAGATATATATGCACTAAATATTTTAAAATTCGTACTCATATATTAAAAAAATATTTAAATAAACTTTATACATTTTGATTATACATTTTGATAGTAACAATTCAATAGCTGATCTTAGCTCAGATGGTAGAGCAGAGGATTGTAGTTGGAGGATTCCAAGATAGTCATCCTTAAGTCGTCGAATCCGGCAGGTCAGACTTGATTATCTATGTATTTCTTAAGAGAGATATATATGCTTTAAGTATTTTAAAAATTATGTAAATAAACTTTGCACATTTTGATAGTAATAATTGAATAGCCGACCTTAGCTCAGATGGTAGAGCGGAGGACTGTAGTTGGAGGATTCCAAAATAGCCATCTTTAGGTCGCCAGTTCGAATTCGGCAGGTCGGACTTGATTATCTATGTATTTCTTAAGAGAGATATATAAACTTTAAGAGTATTTTAAAATTTGTACTTAAAAATTAGGTAAATAAACTTTGCACAATTCGATAGTAACAATTGAATAGCCGACCTTAGCTCAAATAAGTATTTTAAAAATTACGTAAATAAAATTTGCACATTTTGATAGTAATAATTCAATAGCCGACCTTAGCTCAGATGGTAGAGCGGAGGACTGTAGTTGGAAGATTCCAAGATAGCCATCCTTAGGTCGCTGGTTCAAATCCGGCAGGTCGGACTTGATTAACTATCTATTTCTTAATAGAGATACATAAACTTTAAATATTTTTAAAATTTGTACTAGAAAATTATTATGTAAATAAACTTTGCGGATTGTAGTTGGCTGCTCAGTGTTAAATAATTATATGCTTTAAATATATCTTAAAACATATACTTTCAATATCAGGGGGTATATATGCGTTTCAGGTAGTGGCTTCATCCTCTCCCAGTCCTCACGATTTCCCATATTGCTAGGGTTTTATTTTTCGCCTTCTTTTCATCTCTCCCTAAATTTTGCCCTTTCTCACGCTAAGCTCCCCTTTCTCTCTAACCTTCTTCCAGTCGCTTACTGGTTGCCGGCCGACGATCTTCACTCGATCTGTTCTTTGGGTAAGTTTTCCTCCTTTATTAATCTCTTATTCTTTCACTTGATTTTCGTGTTTGACTGAAATACGTGTAGATCATAAAGAAAATAATCATGAAATAAGGAATGGGTGATTGGTGGTTTGGTGCTACCACGCACGTCGAGTGTTATTTTCATTTAAAATGCTCATTTGGTTTACGTTTCTTTTTAGTTTAACAATTCGCCGAACTGTCAAATGATGTTGGGAATTTGCGCAAGGGCTTTGAGTTCATATAGATGTTACTGTGAGCTGTGAAATAATCTTTTATAAAATCCCCTCTGATGACAGTGGAAGCATATTTTGAAATATGCGTCGACCAGCAAGAAAATTATCATGAAATAAGGTATAGTTGATTGGTGTTTGGTGTTACCAGGCATCAAAACTCTCAATGTGCTTACTCTTTTTTGGTTAATAATTCACGGAACTGCCAAATGATGTTGGGAAATTGCGCAAGGGCTTTGAGTTCATGTAACGTATTACTCTGAGCAGTGAAATAATCTTTTATGAAATCCCCTCTGATGGCAGTAGAAGTTGTTTTGAAATTTAATATGTTCTGTACTAGTTGATTTTGTCTTTAAGTGTGTCTTTGAGTTCAAGCCACATGATTGCTTCATTTTTGTGGTAAACTATCGATTATACAATGGAGATGAGGGCGCGAGGTTTGAATATGAGTATCACTTTGACATAAAAGACATCAGAGCTACCATGCATGTCTTTTTCTTTGATGAAGTATCTAACATTATGTTGCTTTATGTTTTTACTGCCATATAACTTATGCCAACTTGTTTTTTCCAAAAAAAAAAAAAAAAAAAAAAAAAAAAAAAAAAAAAAAAAAAAAAAGAAAAGAAAAGAAAAAGAAAAAAAAGAAGGCTACAAGCTTCCGATAAGCTCATTTGATCATAACATTCTTATATACCATATTAGGGACTAATTGCGTGTCTCGTGTTTGAATTGTGTTTTATAATGATTTAGCCTTATGAATCACAACTTAAGTTGTGGAGACATATTTAGCCATATAGAGTGCATGTATGAAAGTTGGCTGCTCAGTGTCTGATCCAGTTAGTTAATAATAACGTCTATTTTGGGAGATGTAATTGGTTCATTACTTGTTTGAGTTTTAGATTTTGGCATTACTTTTCTCACCACCAATCAATGAAGCATATAGTCAAGATTTTGACATTATTGATGGCCATATCAGCGTTGTGGATTGGCCTCTTGCAAACATCTATATTACCACATGGCCATGCATGGCTGGTGAGTTAACAGTCATTATGCTCTCAAATCCTTCATATTTATTGTCATCATTTTACTCTCGATAGGATGCTTACTGTACATGTCTTATCACACCAGCTACCCATCTATTTTATTGTCTCTCTGGGATGCTATGGTCTATTGATGGTTGGTGTCGGTCTAATGACATTTCCAACTTGTCCTAGAGAAGGACTGTTGCTACAACAGGTATTTCCCCCTCTTATTCTCACTCTGCACTTTTATATCATACTAGAGTAACTTAGTGAATAAGGCACCAATTACCATCTCAATGGTTCAATCCCGCACCCTGCATTGTTGAACTAAATAAGAAGGCTCTCTCTCTTTCTCTGGAATTTTCTTCGAATTTCCATATCTATCAGACTGGAAGATACGTACAAACATCTCATCCTGAGTTCCTTTTGTGTAGGACATTGATGAAGCCAAAGAACACCTTAAGCAAAAAGGGATTGACATAAATTCTAATTGACAGACTTCACCATCCTCTGCCTTCTCTCCTGTTGATCAGATCTCTATTTGTTTGATCAGGGCGAAGAACACTAAACCCATTTCAAAGCGCATTTTTTTATTGGATTCTTTAAGAAAGGTAATGATTGTGGATTCATGTATAGAACGAAGTTGTTTCTTTGATAATTTTGTCAGTTGGTAACATAATCTTTCAGTTTTTGACAGAGCTAGCAACTCTCTCTCTTATATATGTTTCCATTTCTTTATACTACAATGTATATTCAGATGACTTTGTGATTGATGTTAATGACCTCAAGTTTGATTGTTTTGAGCTCCCTCCCTCTTTAGCACTTTTGTATGGTCTACAGGAGAACACGTTTGGATGGAGTAAAGACGGGTGGACAAAACATTCAATCTAAAAAATGTGTTCTCTTTTCTCATGTTGTAGTTTTTTAATTTTTTATTTATATAGTTTATCTAATAGTTTGACCGATTACACTACTTTTTAAAAAATGGGCAAAAACGTACTTAAAATTATTTAAATTAAAAAAAATACAACTTGTAAATATAAGTTACTTAAGAAGTATTTTGTGTCTTATATTTGAGGTACTGGCTTGTAAAAATAAAGCCTTTGGAGTTTTTATTGTATTGAAACTTTCTTAAATTAAATAATAATAATAAAAAAAAAGTCACCAAGGACAAATACGTTTTTATAATTTTTATTTAATAAAATATACTCTTTTCTTTCTTTTTTTTTTTTTTCTAATTTAAGCGGTTCATATATATTTTAATAGTCATGATACGTATGCTTACAAAAAATACATTTTTTGAATATAATTTCTAAGCAAAGTGGATTGTTGTCAGTTATATATATTATCCTCGCAATTAAATTTACTGGAAAAAAAAAGCTGTATTTATTGCAAGATAAATTCCAAAAGGGGAAACAAAAAGAATCCAAGCCAAGCTTGATCAGGCCGTTAGACGCTTCAATCCAACGGTCCACATTTGCCTCCCATTCAGAAAATATACGGTCCAAGTTGTAACTGAGCTGATTAAACCAATTTGATGGAAAAGCTGTGGAAAATAAAGGTTAAAAAAATACAAAAAAGGAAAGGAAAAAGAAATGTCGACAATTCTCCTCTTATTACTCCAGAAGTCTTAACCTCATCCCTCTTCGCCTGCAACCGTAGAGGCCGCTCTCTGCCTCTTCTGCCCCACGACACTTTTCTCTTGACTCTATACATTTCAGAGAGCCGCACCACTCAGATTCCAAGTAGATTCCGAGCAGAAGCGTTGCACTAAACAGGTTTTTCCTCCATTAATTTCCACCCTCATGCCCTAACTTCTTTTTTCATACCAATTCTCCAACAACGCCTTATTCGATTGATTCATGAATTAGCTTCTTGTAGCTTGTTTTCTTCAATTCTAACCTGTTTTTTCTTCCGTGTTTTTGTTTTTGTTTTTGCTCTTTTTATGCTAATCGGTATTGTTTTTGTCTCTGTTCATGTGTTTTCATTTCCTAGGAAAAACCTTATGAGATATTAGTTTAGCGTTTTTGCGTAGCGTTTCTAGGCCGGCTCTGAATTTTTGTTCGGTTGGAATAATTTCTGTGTTTGAAGTCAGTATGGATGATTTTTCGTTTCGTTCCTCGGAATCTGGAGGATTGGCTTGCATTAACATGACCGATGTAAGATTGTTTTTTCGTGGAGAGGGGAAAGAAATGAATGTCTCTATGAGCGTACGAATGCATATAAAAGGAAGACAATGTGATGCTGCGAATGAAAGAAAGTTTTGTCTCGAGTATTGGCTTTTATAAGGATTGACGATGAGAAGTTTCTTCACTACTTTCAAATATGCGTGATTGCGTCCAGTTTTGGAGTTTATTTTTTTCGTACACTACTTGTGCGTTATCTGAGACTGTACGATAGTAGTTGCTTCAAGAGTTGTTTTCCATTTGAGATTTTCCTTAAATCGTGTAATTTTATTGGAACTTGTTATGAATATCAAAATGTCTGTTGGTATAGCAAATTGTTTTTTGCGCTGGTTTAATGTTCGGGTTATGTGAAATCTCTGTGTTAAGTGGAAGAACTCATGTTTACGTTGTTAAATTGCAGAATCCAATCAAGAGTACGTAGCTTTTTGTTTAACTTATACATTGCTCATCATGGTTTCGATGGCCATTGTACCTTGTGGAAGTACATCAATTGCTCAATGGGGCATTCCTCCTCAGTGCATGCTAAGACCTTCAACAAATAAGATATCCCCAATCCAATATGGGTAAGTTTTCCATGCTTTCTCTCCTTTTTTTTGTTTTCAATTTCCATTCGTAGCTATTCTATAAATCACTTGAGAGGTTTCTCAGTGTGCCTATTTCTTCTTCCTAGCAGATTGCTAGTAAATTTGAAATGAGACAGCCATTTTGGTTAGATTCTACCAAAAAAAAAAAAAAAAAAAAAGGTCTTATGTGATGGAGTTGCTTAACTGGTCTACTTGGTTTCTGATGTCTCAAGTCTTACACTGTGTTATTTGAGCAGTGAACTGGATTCATATTTGTAGATTTAGGATTTGTGAAACTGTTTCGGAAATAAACAATATAATTGGTTTAAAAACAACCACATAATTTGAGTAAAAATGCACAAGATTAATTTATTTTTTGACATTAGTGTCACAAGCAGGGTCAGCAACATAGCAGCAGTAAGCTCAAGCTTCTTCTCTAGGGGTTCCTTGAGTGTTCTATTTGACACAAGATCATCCTCACAAACTTCACATCGACGGAGGGGCGGGTTGCTTGTCGTTAGAGCAGATAGTGTGCGTAAAATTGTTTCTCCCTCCCCCACCCCCCAAAAAAAAGAAAAAAAAAAAAAAAANCCCCCCCCCCCAAAAAAAAAAAAAAAAAAAAAAAAAGAGAGATTTTGTTCTGCATTTATTTTCAAAATAACGCTTGTTTATTAATTTGCAGGATTATTACTCTGTCCTTGGGGTGTCCAAAAACGCCAGTAAATCTGAAATTAAAAGTGGTATTTACCTTTTACTCGGATGTTCAACAATTTTTTTGGTTTTGATGTTTGATATTTGAAGGAAACAATTACCAAGGATTACTAAACGATTGAGAAGCTTAGTTCCCTCACAATCCCTCGTGCTAACAAATTGACCTCACACTCCAACTAATAACTGATGTGGTCTTAATAATCACCCTATCATAATTTTTATCATGTTCTACACTAGGGATCATGGCTATCTGTATTCTACTCGAGGAATCTACACAATACATATTGTCTCTCATTGAACAAAGCCTCGCATGCATTTGTATTTGTGACAATGAGAGAAAAAAAAAGTTTTGCTTAGATTATGTTAGGGTGAAAGGATAAGGTTCTTCCAAATAATAACTAATTTTTTTAGGAAGAACGAATGCCACCTATTAAAAAGAATAGTTAATGTATTCAAACCGTGGAAGGTGCTATATTGGTGCTTAAGCCCATTAGAAGCAAATGATAGGCGATTATGTTCTTGGTGGACCAAGACATTCTAGACGTGAGTCTGAAGCTGACTTTTTCTAACGTATATTTTGATTTGTTATCTATTGCATTTACTTAAGTAATGCTCCTAGATTTTCTCATCCTTTATATATTATCTTATCACAATTGGCGTGGTTTTGTGTTCTTCAGCTTATCGGAAGCTTGCTAGGAGTTACCATCCGGATGTGAACAAGTAAGTCGACTGATTTTATGGATGAAAAGACTATGCAACAGTACTGATTATAATAGACATGACAAGATCCACTTTAGTCTTGTTAGTCCAATCTTAGTTCTTAGTTATTCTTTATTTTCTTATTCGGCAGTGGGTTCAGTGTATTTGTATAATATGTATTTTATGACCAGTTCTTTCCTGCTCTATCAGAGAGGCTGGGGCTGAACAAAAATTCAAGGAAATTAGTAATGCTTATGAAGTAAGAGTCTTATAGCTCATGTTTGTTTTTACATTTAAAAATTTAGAATTGTGACCTATGATAACTAATATACCAGCAATTTACTTGTTCCAGGTCTTGTCCGATGATGAAAAACGCTCACTCTATGATAGATATGGAGAGGCTGGCCTTAAAGGTTCTGGTATGGGCATGGGGGTAAGTAATTCTCTAATGGTAATATGAAAAATATGTTTATGAAATTTCCTTTGCCCTGAGTCCTGTGTTTGTCTACGCTTCTTCAGGATTTCAGCAATCCTTTTGATCTCTTCGAGTCCTTATTCGAGGGCATGGGTGGTATGGGCATGGGAGGCAGAGGTTCGAGGAGTAGTGCAGTTGATGGACAAGATGAGTATTACAATCTTGTGTTGGACTTCAAGGAAGCTGTTTTTGGTGTCGAAAAGGAGATCGAGATTAGCAGACTGGAGAGCTGTGGAACTTGTGAAGGATCTGGCGCTAAACCTGGAACAACACCAACTAAATGTAGCACATGTGGTGGTCAAGGGCAGGTCATCTCGTCTGCAAGGACTCCTCTAGGAGTCTTCCAGCAGGTAATGACTTGCTCTTCATGTGGTGGTGCTGGGGAAATATCCACGCCTTGCAACACATGTTCTGGGGATGGGCGAGTACGGAGAACAAAGCGGATAAGTTTAAAAGTTCCAGCAGGGGTTGATGCTGGTAGCCGTCTAAGAGTTAGAAATGAAGGGAATGCAGGAAGGCGAGGTGGATCTCCAGGGGATCTCTTCGTTATTATTGAAGTTGCACCCGACCCCGTGCTTAAACGTGAGGATACGAATATCTTGTACAGTTGCAAAGTGTCGTACATAGATGCCATATTGGGCACTACCATTAAGGTTCCAACAGTAGATGGGATGGTTGATTTGAAAATCCCTGCTGGGACACAGCCAAATACAACACTTGTGATGTCGAAGAAAGGAGTTCCGCTCCTAAATAAGAGGAATATGAGGGGAGATCAATTAGTTCGCGTGCAGGTTGAAATCCCGAAGAAGCTGAGCAGCGACGAGCGGAAGTTGATCGAGGAACTCTCAGATTTGAGCAAAGGCAAAGCTGTAAGCAGTCGAAGATAGCTTCCACTCCAAAGCCAGGTCAGGAATTACTTTCCCCTTCATTTTCTTCCTGCACCTTTCGCTCATTCCAACGATTCATACGTCTTACGTTGTAGTGTAGTAGGTCATTCAATGTTACTTCAATTTTTTCAACAATATCGTCAATCATAGGAACGAAATGTAAATCAAAGATAACTCTTTGATCATGAATGTTTGAATACAGACATGTTATGGTTTATTGATTGATTTATATTTCTCATTCTGTCAATGTCACGATGTATTCCATATTATAAAGAATGAAAAACTTAACATGGTTGATCATTGAGGTGAATTGCGTAGAGTGAGAAATAAAATTGCATATCAAATTTTTTAATGAAATTTATCATTATTGTATTTTTTTTTAATTTAAATCTTGCTTGAAGTTCAATAAATATTATAAACCTCTCTCGGATGTTATTATATTATATTTTAGTATAAATTTTTACCCATATATTTATCACAATTTTCTTTTCAAAAACATCCCTAAATTTATAATTTTATGTGGAAAATATTTACCTTCTTCTTTGCTATTATTAAGATAGGGGTTATAATTACAGTTTAGTGTTCGTATTTTGAAAGATTAATATTTTGATATTTAAAATTCACTCAATAAAATTTACTAGGCTTCAATTTAATATACACTTACATCAAATAATTTTTAAACCTCACTATCCATATATTAAATAATTTTTAAAAATAACAATGGAAATCCAAAAAATATATATATATATTTTAAATTTTAGGGATTAAACCTAAAATAATTAAATTCGAACTTTTTCCTTTTTCTTTTTTCTCTCTCCAATAAATATGTACACTGCCGAAATGTAATGGGCTTTAATGGGCTTCAATGATCGGGGCTCCAGCCCGGTTCTTTACCGGACGCAGTACAAAGCTTTCGTTTCCATTTCCCAGAGGTTCGCACTTTTGGAGAGTTCGGTTTCGATTCTTCTGAATAAGCTAAGAAAGCCAAGAACATGGTAAGCAGACTCGGAAGAAGAGTTGTTCACTTCGCAAATCTTCCAATCAAACTTCTTATGCCAACTTCCTTCACCAACATCACTGAAATTGCTCTCAAAACCATTCCTTCTGCTTCCAAAATCGAAATCAAGCGCGTTCTCGAGAGCCTCTACGGCTTTGAGGTCGATAAAGTTCGAACTCTCAACATGGATGGTAAGAAGAAGAAGCGCGGAGGGCTTTTGATTGCAAAGCCTGATTACAAGAAGGCCTATGTTACTCTCAGGAATCCCTTGTCAATTTCTCCGGACGTCTACCCCATCCGGATTATAGAGGAGGACAAGAGGAATATGAATAAACAGTCTAAGTCCAGCATTGTTGAAGAGGGAGAGGCCAAGCGGCATTGGCTGCATGAAAAGGAAGCAGTGGGACTCAAAACTTACAAGGGTTTTGCTGATAGAGGCCGCCGACGAATTGGCGGCGCTGAAGCTGTTGAACCATCAACTAAGTTTCCTTGGAGTAGCATGAGGTCCGGTAGGTAGTTTGAAGAAATGTATACCAATTACTTCGTAATTGGGATTTGTTTTGGATTTTTTGTTTCTTCTAAACGAAATGGAGCCTAATGATAAGTGTTTGATTTTCTAATTATGAAATGAATTCTTGTTGGCTCTCTTATGGGACGTATTGCTGGAGGACGTTCTGTATTGTCGCTTAAATCAATAAAGAAGTTAGAGTTGTGTTTGTACTATTCCCACGTATTATGTAGATTCTACTTGCATAATTCCAGAATGCGTTCTGGGTTCTTCATCAAATATTTGAGCAATGTTGTGGTTATAATGAGTTTACACATTCCACCACATGCTGTATGAAAAGCTGAATGCGTAGTAGTAATTTTTCTGATAAATTTCGTTCTCGCTGCAGAGGGTACTAGTGGCTATTGTTATCTGTCTACCTTATAACTTTTCAATATAACGAATCCAATTTCTATCATTTTTCTTGTTCTTGGTGAAAGGATATTCTCATGAGAAAGAAAAATTAAAGAAAGGATACATTGTCTGCATTCTGCACGGTGAACAATATTAAAAACGTGGAATAGCAACTTCTTTGAATTATTTAGCTTTTAGAGGATTCTCTTATTCCAAGGCTTCAGGTCATTGATAATCTATCTCTTAAGCTCACTCGAGAACTAAGCCTGCTGGATCTACGCTGGGCAGGTTCATCTCCATCAACTCTTGTTTGGAAAGAATTCTTTATCTTCTTCCAACCAAATACCCAACCTGCTACATTTTTCTGCTTGTTGCTTAGTTTTTCATACTCTTGTTGCAGCTCCGAGTAGTCACGTTGCAACCCTGCCATCTGTGTCTTCACGCTCTGAAGTTCTTCCTTGAGGTTTTTAATCTCTCTGTCTGTTGATAAAGGGTTTCCATCCTCAACTGAATTATCACTACTGGGTGCTTTCTCCTTCTCTTGCATGGCTGACCTCATCTTCACTTGCTCTGAAAACAGAACCTGCATATTCACTCAGAAGTATTGTGAGTACCACTTAGAACTCTAAACTATTGACTGGCTACTTGTATGTCCGAATTTCTTAGAGCTGAGACTCCAATTATTGACTGAGATGGACCTATTCTGTTTGTTTTACTGTGTCGTTTGATTGTTGTTTATTGTATAAATTTGGTCTTTGACGCTGGCCTATTGACTACTGCCGCCATTGAATATATATAAACGAAAAGATATAGAAATCTGATATTGTAGTCTTCTTATATCTCTCTAATTTTCGGGTTCTGACTGCCAATTGTATTAGTATTACAATGGAACATAAATAGGTATTTCTAGTAGTGTTATGAAAGAGAGAATGCATGGAGGATCATTAATAATAATGTATGAGGAGTTGGGAATGGGGCTCAGTGAAGATGGTTTTTGTTGATGATCATAAATTAAACCTTGTTTGAAGATCTGGTATGCAGTATATTGTATTTCTGACAAAGCTTTTGTCTTTGTCGAGAAATAAGGGCAGTTGGTTCTTATAAGCTATATTTCTTTTTGTCTACCATTCGAGATCCTATGGGCAACCTTTATGTTCTGGTTTTTGAATCTGTTGAAGGTTTGAGTTCAAGTTCAAGTAGCAACTAATTCTTCAGCCATATGTATATGTTATGCGATTATAACTTCACACTTTCTTATCTTTCTTTGCTCTTTTAATTAAATTCTATAATGTAGATTTGTTGCTGGGATTTTAACTAGATTGTACTAATTTATAGGGCTTATATAGTGTCACCTGAACTATAGTTCTTAGAGGCAGTCGATCATTTTGTGCAGCATGCACACCCGCATCAAGCGAAAGTTTCTCACAATTCATGATTTTGCAGAGCCTTCTCCGATCATGCTCAGATAATAAAGGACGGGTCTGCAGAGGAGAATAGTCTGTAAGTCTCTAAAGTGAAATTTCTTCTATCCTTCCAAGCTGATATAAATTGCTTCAAATGACAAAATGACTAAGAACACGATAATCAATATGCAACCTTGAGGTAGGTGTCAATGGCTCTGTATAATCCATCATGACAACGCCTTGCATTTTCTGACAATGATTTGGCTAATGTTTGAAACTTGGTGATGGAGAAGTTTGGATCTCTCGCAAGTTCAGCTAAGTAATTGTCTATGAGTTTACACACATTAGAGTTCCCATTTCTATGTTGCTGCTGTTGCTGTTCAAACAGTGAGTAATATTCTAGGAGCCTTTGCACTACTTCTATGTCATGCATAGTGCGTTCTTCTTGTGCACTGAGGAGCAATTCATGGATGAAAAAACAAGTTAGTGAATTTGATTAGCGTTGGAGACTTCTAATTGGTATGTGCTGAGCTTCTAACAACAATACTTACTTTGGCAAGTTTCCATGTTCATTATTTGTTTGATTAGGAATTAGAATATCAATCACATTCGCATCCTCCAACACCATTCCTATTCTTTTCTCTAGTTCCGAAATCAAAGCTGCTGATGCACAACACACCCTTGCCATCTTTAGCATCTGCAATAAGAACTTGCACGAAACTGCTTCTCTTTGAGGAGGTAGTATGCTTAGTAAGCTTTCAATAATAGCTTTATGTTCCTCGTTGTATCCGATTCCGAGTTCATCTTTCCTACCACTCACAATACTTACTTGCAGGACATTTTTGTCCTGTGTATATTTTCCTAGTCCTGGTTCCATTCCAATGCCTGGCACCCACTTCCTTGCATAGTGCTCAATACTTTGACCTATAATCTCTGGCTTTATACCCTTGGCCCTTACTGCAGTTATAATTCTTGTGAAGTAGTCTATCCGAAGTGTTGTTAAATCATTTAACCACCACCCATCTTCACAGTCTGAATCTCCTGTTATGTTCTCTCTAGAGAGTTTCCGGGCTATTGAGTCACAGCACCGTCTCACAATTTGAAGATTCTCAGCCCATGGAGAGAGACTCTGACAAGTTCTGAGAACAGTTAGTGATTCTTTCCATGATGGAAGGACTACAAATGTGAGGAAGGACTCCGTCTTGTAGATTAGATTTTCATCTTCAAATTCTTCTGTCATCTCCAAAAACTCTGATGCACATCTTAATGACGCTACATTGCTCGAGTTCAGGTCTACTGGGAAACCATAACAGTATTTGATAACCATTTCAAATGTTTCTGATCCACCTGGGAAGTTTTCAAGCTTTAGGTCGTAACCCTGAGTGGAGGTTGAGGATTGAAGTTCCATTCGGCCTATGTAGCCACATTTCGAAATCAATGTGTACTGTTTCAAGAAAGCTCTTTCATCTTCATTTATTATTGAGCAACTAGAAATTAGAATGAGCTAATACATTTTAGTTTTAGGCGAGGAAGCAATTTGAGAAATAGAAAAGGATGTCTGCTACTTTTGCTGCATTTCATTGTAGTTTGAGCTTACTTGGATATAGTTAATTACCTTGTGAACATTGAAGGTGATGTCTTGAACTTGAACTATCAAATCTGTTGGGAACTGAGTGGTAATAAACCTGCAAAGGGGGAAACCAGAGAAAAGATTGTATTCAAAACACTAAATGGACAGTATTCAGAGAGAAGGCCCTATTCCATTCCATGAATCAAGATTCTAAAATGAACTCAAGGTTCTACCATGCTTGATCTTTCCTGTTGATGCAATCTTCTCCGGTGATAAATTGGTCTGGAATCACTATCCTCTGGTCGTGAACCTGCTCGGCTCCGTCCAAATTAGTGTCGGGATTTTGTATTCCAGTAAGAGACTTCAAGTTCATGGTTGCTTTCTGTCTCTCTGACTAGCTGTATCTCCTGTTTTGATCTCTGTTTCTCTCTTTCTCTGATGGATTTCATGTGTGATTTGAAACTGGGGTCAGCTCAAAAGGGAAAATAAATGCAAGAGAAGCAAGTATGTGGCTGCGGTGGGAGCGTTCGTTAAAAGAGGGTCCATGGAAATGCTCAATCATTTATTGTATCATTATCAGGGACTGTGGTGGGAGATTGATATTATGAGGGAGATGAGGAATGTTGGTAATGATATGACCATACTTATTTCATCTACGTCTACAATGACTCAACCAATGGATGTATGATGTCCGATGTACATTATTATTGTAAGCCAAATGCCGCCTTCTTGTCTGGGCAGCTACTGCCATCACCATGTCTTTGAAGTCTTTCTTTTTCATTCGTTTTGTTTTGTCTCAACACTGACAAATGTATTTTTTTTCTTTATCCTTTTTTTTTTCTTAAACAATTTTGATCCTAATTTGTTCTATTTTAGCCCTTTTCAAAATGTTCAGATTTAGCTCTCGTATTTTAATAAATTGTGAAATTAGTCTCTATTGCTTGTGTTGTAGTCAACTTTTCTAGCATGATTCATATTCTCAAATCAATTTTTTTTCTCCAAATTGTTTTCATATTAAAAAAAAAAAAAAAATCTTTATTTTTTATAACCATTTAGTTTATTATTATTATTATTTTAATTTTTCTTTTGTATTTGAAAGTTAAGCCTATAAATAGTGCCAATGTTATATATGTAAATATATTTTAAAATTCAAGCCAAATTTTGAAAGGTAAGTCTGACTATTTTATTTTTTTATTTTGTTTTTTTTTTTTCCGAAAATGGTACTTATTTTCTCATAAATTCTCTATGAGTTTGGTCGTTATTAAAAAAAAAACATAATTCTTAGTCAACTTTCAAAATACAAAAATAACTTGACCTCTTAATACATATTAAAAGTAAACAAAACAAGAAAACTCATAAATGGAAGTAATATTTATTAACTCATAAATGGAAGTAATATTTATTAACTCATAAATGGAAGTAATATTTATTGACCTTATTTTTAAATACCTAAAATAAAAGATCAAATATTTATCAAAGAAACTACAAGTTTAAATTTGTAATTTGTAATTTAATTCATTAAGAAAAACAGGTGTCCACTGGAATGCCACTTCTAACTGCATTCTAATAAGGTCTCAAAAAAAAAAAGAAAAAAAAAAAGAGAGTAATAATAGAGGTGACATTCTAATAAGGAAGTGAATGTATAAATGCTCATATTTTAGTAAAAACGTATCTGGTAGTAGATATCCCTATGAAACAACACCTTCAGATACGGTAATGATTGAAAAGAAAGATCAAACTACATCTTTTTGGTTCACTTAGTTTCAATTTAATTGAAGTTCTGGTTGAAACATACCTGATATTATGTAATTTCAATACTAAAACAATAACAATACTTGGCGGCTGCACCATTAATATCTATATCTATACAAGAATAAAAATACTTGCCAACAAATTTCTGAATTTTCATAATTTTTCATTAACATCAGTACTTTTACCAACATTCCTATCATCCCAATGCCACAACACATTCACTATTGATCATTTCCTAAGGCAACCCTAAATTGGAATACACTTATGTACAAATAATAACAGTCGCGTGCCTAAAAGTGTGTTCTATGAGGAGATAAACATTAAAAACAAGCTATTTTAAGAGACTAGAAAGGCAAAGGAGAAGAGCGATACAAAACCAGAGACCAAAAACTGTTACATAGCAACAGATCCATCACTCTGCTGCCTTACTCTCAGAGTCAAATATATCAATATCAAGGTTCCCAAGCTTGATCTGTAATTAAACAAAAAAGGAATTAAAACAAATCTGATATTAAAGAATCATTATTTCTAGTGTTACTTTTGGGTTTATTTATTTAAAAAATAGAGCGGCATTAATATCCTATGTATGAAACAGTTTTGGCACTACTAAAACTGGATCCTGTCGTTCTGCCTGGATGAAAGTCATATAAAAAAAAATCATTATTTTCTGGAAAAAAGATAAAGAAAAAGAAAAAGAAAAAAAGGAAAAAAGGAAAATATTCTAAAGTGCTAAAAAACAATTTACAGAACTTATCAAGAGATTTAAGAATATTTAAAAGTACTCTTAAATATTTAAAGGCACTTTCTTCAAAGGGTCAGTAGAGTTAACAGATGGGATGTGTAATAGGAAGCGAAAATTATTTGACGAAGTTATTGAAAGGACATGTTCAAATCATAAAATGCAAAGGATCTACAGCAAATAGCACTACGGTAAAAGCCACTTATGTTCTGAAATTTCCAAAGATGAACTGTATTCTTTTGTAATGGTGTGCAGCTACTTAAAGGCCCAAAATTATACGCAGTATTGGGACTGGGTTTAAATTAAAAAGATTTGAGACTTGGGTACTTACAATACTGAGAAGAGAATAACTATCTTTCTTGAATCAAATGAAGCGGCACGTTTATATTTTCTCCACCTGTTGTTTGGCGTATCATGAACCCTCTCGGTCCCTGATTTTTCTGTTAAATCAAACACAAGAAATAAAAGTTCAAAATTTAGTGGTAAACATTCAAGACATCATCAAGTTTGCCAGCTCTTGCTGCTCTTGCACTGGTGCAATTTCGGTCTCCTTTTTCAATTTTAATATATTGAACAATCATCTGAGCATACTACATTTGGTTACCAAAATAGTTCATAAGTAATAAATCTTAAGTAGGTAACTAAGGTGGCTTGAACTCATCTCCTCTAAGTCATATTATTGTTTACAAGACATTCAGGCAAGCTTCTTATGGTAGTTAGTTTCAAGGGGATAAAATCAAAGTCAGAAGAGACATGTCATCTATTGTTCAATGGATAGGCATAGGTACACCACAAAAGAAGAAAATATAAATCCTGAATATCCATGAGGTGAAGACCTCAAGCAATGGTCCAACCTGTCAAAATATTAAATGTCTTATAAGGTTCTTGAACCTAGGTGTTCCCGAGTTAGGCACTTGTCTCTTAGACAATTGGGATAAGTCATGATGTACAGAAACTAGCCCCAACCACCAAGATAGTTTTTACAAAAAAAACAAAGAAAGTTTTTACCCTGGTGAAGGATAGATAATCATACCTTTGGACGAGAACCTCAGTAACATTAGTCCATGGTCTAACAAATAATGCACAAGTTTCACACCCATTTTAAGGCTGGACTGTCTCTGCAATACCTTCTCTATTCGCTGTAAGAGATGAAAAGTACGTCACAATACAGACGATCACAAGAAAAACCATTTCAGTGTGTAACTATTAACTCATACACGTGTGGCAATATTAAGCTGATTTCTGCCCACACTATTATTAATTTATTTTAGGATCACGAATCCATCTTTGGTCTTACTTTTAGTTCTTTTTTGTTTTTAAGGAGACCCCAACTCTACAACATGTGTAAATAAATGAGTTCACTTACCAATAAAGTATTTTCAGTTTTCAAACTTTCAAAAGTTCCTTCACAAGATTTAGGTGTTTTGAGCTTGTCCTTGTCAATATCAATATTTACTATGCACGAGGAATAAGCATCTCCACCATTCACATGTATGTCAATAACGTTCTGGCAAGTCAAGCTGGCATCTGAAGTTGCCAATGACATCTTACTATTTGTTGGATGGGTAACTTCCAGGAAGCTGAGAAAAGCTAAATGTGGATCACAATCTGGACTGTTGTCGAATTCCTCGGTACTTGAAAAGCCAGAAGAATCACGGGCCTGAACAAATAAAGATTATTTAAAAGAAATTTTCAAGATATATACAGAACCGTTAAAAAAATAAAAATTAGTACAGTGTGAATCTTCAACTGCAGTAAATTTCTTCCCAACAAGAAAAAAAGAAACAAAAAGGCAAAAAGTTACAGAGTCGAGTATTATTTCAAATGCCAAATAGGAAAAAGAGAACGATACAACAAATAAGTAGGATTTGTTACAAAACAAATTTTTTTTCTGAAAAAAAAAAAAAAAAAAAAAAACCTTTATATTGATTAGTTGTAATACAAACAAATTCAATGGAAATAGACTACACGGACAAATACGGGGCGAAGCCAACTATGTTCGAATAGGAGAATAATCTGATTGGTACTAATGGTTATGGGCAAAGGAATACAACAAAAGTAGGAGAATTGCCTGTTAGTTGTAAGGGAATTTTGTGGGTGGGTTGATTTCTTTTTGCTTTTTACAGAATGATAGTTCTTTTTAAGGAAAAAAAAAACTAAGAAAAATATTCAACCATAATTAACTATTGTAAAAGTAACCAACATTGCTTTAGAAAATAAAAGGTAACCAACATGGTAAAATTAAGATAATAATTACATGAAATTAAAGTTAGCTAGTCAGTGATTTGATGTATAATTGACTAATAATCGATTAGCTAAAAATCGAAATGTATTATTTCCTAGTTTCGTTCAGATGAGAAAAAAAAAAAAAAATCATATAGGCTACTATCATAAAATTCTTAAATAAATACATCTGCCTAATTGTATTCTTCTGCATATAGCAATGGTCTCAGCGCCATGTCCAAAAGAAGAAAAAAACTGAGCTCCATCAAGTCATTACCACTAATAGAGAGAAAGAAGACCAAAATATAGTGGAAAATCAATGAACCATAAAATCAAACTTACCAAAGAATCTTGAGAGGGGAACGAAGCCTTCTCAAAGAGACTTGGCAAAATTTCTGAACGGCGATAACAATTATTTATCAGTAACATGCACAACTGGAAGTCTAAAACTGAACAAACAAAATGTAATTAATAAAAATACCTAAAGAACTATGGCGCTCCGCCTCGTCGAATCTAGTAACTTTCGCAAGTTTTTCTTGAACGTGAACTCCATTTGATAGAGTTGCAGCCTGGAAAGAGACGCAAAAGGTAAATGCATTATCAAAAGCGGCGGCTAAATCAAAATGCATACATA